AGCAGGAATTTTGACCTTCAGAATGAACTAACAGAATTGGAAAAGCAGCTAAGAATTTCAGGCTATTACAGAAATGGGCATGGAATAACAACAAACTATCAACTAAGGTAAAAATGTGAATTTATGAGACTTGAGTGATGTCATCCCTGCTTGATGGTTCACAAATGTGGACTATGGTATGTTTGGCACATCAGGAGACTGAACAGCTTCCATATGAGATGCCTGTGCAAGACTGTGAAAATAAAGTGGGAACACAACATGCCAAAAACAAAGGTGCTGGATGCAGGGCTGACACACTTGGAAACCACTATCAAGAAGAGGAGGTCACAATGACTCAGCCATGTCAGGAGAATGGAAGGAGACTGTATCCCTAAGAATACTTTGTACAGAGAGATTTAAGACGGCTCTAGAAAGCAGGGTCAGCCTCTATGGACGTGCAAAAATGATCAGAAGTCGTTCAACATCAATGTAAAAAGCTGGGAGGAGTGCACAAAAACTCATCCAACCTGGAGGGACCGTCTGGCACTGGGTACAGTTCACCATTAAGTGGCTTTGATCCACAGGATGGAAGCAAAGTGAGAAAAGAAGGAAGCGGCATGCTGTAAACTTGGATTCCAACTCAGACAACACATGGATTTGTGAAACTTGTAACAAGCTGTGTCACTTGCAAATTGGGACTGTCAACCACGAGCAGATTCATCAGACATCTGACTAGACCTCATACACATAGACCACAATCCAAAGGATCATTGGTTGCCTAATAAACATTGTTTTCTCACTCATGTAATGAACTGGAAATTTGCTATATTATTTCAAGTAGGAAAGGCAGGCATTTAAAAACAGGAGGTTTGGATAAAGACTGTAATGTTAATTGGGGGGAGGGGGATGTTGTAAATGCAGTTGCAGACCACAGTGCTCATATTCAGAACCAAGAAAAATTATGCCATCTTCCATTCTTCAGAGATCTGTTCTTTAACATGCTACATGGTTCACCTATGGTCATCCTTCCTCATTGATTTGGGGTGGGGATCCAGCCATTACTAAATGCTAAATGAGCTTCAATAAGATAGAATAAAGATTACTTCAATAACAGAATATGTAACCCAAAGAAAAGCTGTGAACAGGAATAAAAGCAGAGGGGAGAACAGGAAATAAACAAGAAAAGAAGGAAAAGACAAATGCAAATGGGAAAAAAATAAATAAAAAACAGGGCACTTGAAAACAGGTAACATTTGGGCTAAATAATGTGTCTAGCCCAGAAAAGTGAAAAGCTGAAACTAAAGGAGAGCTGAGCAAGAAGAAAAAGGATCATTAGAGCAACAAATAATGCAGTACAGCCCACAATTCCTCCCACTGTGGTCTGGCTTCTCTGCAGTTAAGTGACTTCTACATATACAAGAGTCCTCAGCTAACTTTATACCGACTAGTTCTTGCTCTGCTAACAGTGTAATTGTGACCTCAGCATGGATTTATTCAACCTGATTCTTGGCTTCTGACTGCAGCCCACACCTACCCTGTATGCCTGCCATGGGATGCTGCATTTTCCTCAGATGGAATTTTCCTCATTTCTTGAGACCGTCAGCATCCATGTGAACCTCAGTGGCAATAACAGAATATGAACAGAGAAATAATCGGACTCAAGTGGTTAAGGCTTTAACAATGGAAAAAAAGCCCTGATATTAGAAAAATAATGGTGAGTTTTCAGGCATTGCGAGACTAGAAATTATGTGACAAAATTGAGGTTACCTTACAGATATATGACACTGCTGGCATAGTGCATGCAAACTAATGTCTTAGCTTGTCGACCTGACATCAGGAATGGGGGCAACCAACAAGCTCTGGAGTCAAGAAAAGAGGCAAAGCTGTCAGCTACAAGCATAACAACAGAATAAAAGCAAAAGCTACAGACTAGCCTGGCATTTGTTATATACCACCATTAATAACGACCAAAAAAAGTGGCAGTTGAAGAATAATTTTATTCTAGATTATACAATTTTTATACTCTTTCTCTACAAATGGCCTGGGAAATGACAACCATCTCAAGGTAGCCATGGCAGCCAAACTGCCCCGGCCTACAGGCAGCCTGCCAACCTCAAAAAGCATCTCTCCAGCAACAGACTACCTAACTCCTATTCTCATTAAGGCACCAGACCCTGCTCTGGACCCAGATGCCAGATGTGCCCTCTCATCAACACAGACCACATCATAACTGGGCAGAAAAACACAGATTATGACATCCAAGGTTTACTTACCTGAACTTCTACCAATATCATACATGCCATGATTTGCTTACTGCCCCTCTGCTTTCTACATTGGACAGATGGAGAGATCCCTCCATGTAAAAATGAATGAACACCAGTACCAGAAGTCAGTACCAGAAAGACGCACAAGCCTGTGGCAGAACACTAACTCCCTGGACATTTTGGCCAGGTCAGAAATTATACACAAACTGATATAAGTGATTGGAAACTGGTTCAAATCTGTACCACAACAGAAGCTCTGTGCACATAAATTGCTTTCAAAATGGCCAAAACCAGTTTAAAATAATCCTGGATGAATGTAGTATCAGACTTAACTGATTTAGGTTAAATCGGTTTATTGAACTTCTGACCCAGATCCCCTCCAGATTCAAGTTAACTCACAGTCCCCCAGCATCCCAGAATGCTCTGCACCTCCCCTGCAAACCCCATCTCGTAGGGTGGGTGACCTAGCCTTGGCCCAAGCTGTCTGCTCCAGCTGAAAAGGAAGGCACGCTTTAGCACCCTATCACTTCTGGCCTGGGCCACTGCAGGCTTGTGGCTGCATTTCTGGAATCAAAAATGAATGTCTATTCACTTGCTTATCAGTTCAATCTATGCAGTTTAGACTAACCTGCAAAGACTGAATTGATTCAGCCTTGAGCTTTTTGACCATCTGTACTTAGTCTCCATCACTGACCTCGAAGTGGCTATTCTTAGAGAACAAAACTTTAAAAATGAACTTGAATGGGAAACTGCAGAATAAAAATCATCCACAGACTAGATTGTGGTAATTATGGTCTAAACCAAGACTATGGCATCTTATCTCATTACCTGGATTAGCTCTTATAACTCTCTGTCCCTCAATGGATTAACTGCTTTGTTTTTCTCTCTCCTACCTACCTTGCCTCTCTCAGCAGTAAGTGCTTTTTCTTTCTCCCTTCCTTACCCTTTGTATTCTAATTACTGCTTAATGTTTAAAAGCTCTGCTTCCTGCAGTCCTTTCACACCATTTGATGAAGTCCACTTGCTGCTCACGAAAACTTATGCTGTGCATCACTAATCTAATCTCCGATTAGTCTATAAGACACAAATCTAGCCTGTTTTCTGCCTGTTTTTACACTAACATGGCTAAGTACTTCTCTCTACTTATTCAGCCACTTGGATAGCTTTTTGAAGTGACTGAATAAAGATGCTGGATCACACACACAATTCTTCAATATGCAGAATGAATAAGCCCTACCAGGGTGTACCATAGCCTGCAGAAGTAAAGCAGTAGTAACAAAAACAATAAGTCAATTCCTTGAGGACAGAAAACAGGTGAGTCTTCCTCTCACTTTAGCCAAACAGCATATATTCAGAAGTTTTCTTTTACAGTAATCTACTTTGCTCCTACCTGCATTAGAAGGGTGGAGGTCAGTTTCCTCTCCAGCTCCATCAACAGTGTTTGTGTGCTCTTCAGGCCTGTCATTAGTCATTGTTCGTCGGATACTCTGATACCTAGGAGATACAAGGCTGGATTTACTGAACAGTGAATGCACTCTAGCCCTGGTTCACAGGAACTTCAAACACTGAGGCTTGATATATTTGCTTTTTTCTCCCATGCATTCCAAAAGTCACTAATCTCTGTAATTTACTCATTACCTGCCCTCTGCAGCCTGACTTCCTGGGGTTCCTTAACAATTTTTGTTGGCCACATTGACATTGAACATAGGTGGAAACCTGACACTAAGGACCTTCAACCAGAGTCAAAGGGACCCCAAGAATAACCACAGTGAAGCCCGCTAAAGAATGTAGAGATACCTGGAGTAGCGGTTGGAAGCCAGTCTTCACATTTGCTCATAAAATGGCTCACACAGCTTGGTACTAGAAAATTCAGCTGCTCCATTTGCTGAATAGAGTTTGACCTCTGGAGGATTTGTGGGGCAGGGGGAGCTGTGGGTCGCTGCCATGTTGTAGTTCTGTTTACATGGTCCACATAGAATATCCTTCCATGGCTGTCGATCCGAGCCTCCCAATCTGAACAGTAATGATGGATTGAGAGGGATGATTTTTTTCTTTAAACTTCACTGATTTTAAATTGCATCTATTGTTTTTAATCTCTCTCCCCTTTCAAAAAGCTTCCAATCCAGCATTTTTTGATTGCTCCCCAACTCATGGCTAAAACACAGGGCTTTTTTCCTGATGTTATTCTACAAATCAGCTACTTGTTGTATGGAGTTTTTGCAGAGTTCACATTCACTACGGAGTATACAGTTTATCTGTGTACCTGCTCAATACGAGCTCAAGGCTTGTGCTCCACTTAAGTCGTGAAATTAGGGTTTAAGTAGACTCTAGGGATATACAGACTTATGTATAGAATAGGTGAGAACCCTTAAACTAGTGTTAATTTGATGCCTGGTTGTTGTTTTCCCCCAACTAATACTAGCAGCAGGAAGGCAGATTAGTCAGACATAAAATGTATACTTTACAATAAAAAATGACTTGAGGATGCAATTACACCTATGCTAAATGTTAACACATTAGAGAGGAGTTAGACACTTCGGCAATCCCAATTAAATATTTGGCAATCTTCATGCTCTTTCATTCTAAAACATTCTAATGTTCGGAATGACATAAATACCATACAAAATTAGCTTTGCATGCAAACTTAAACAGCCCAATTTTAATAGATTCTGACCAAATATGAATTCCTTTGCATGAAATCACACCAAATACAGTAGACAACATTAACCATGCAGAATTGGTCCTTCTTAGGTACTGTATCTGCTGCAAGTGCATTGTCATCTTATGCTCAGGATAGGAGACAACACTGTACATAATGACTGTGAAGTAGCAAATGTTAAGTTTGTAAACGGCACCCACTATACAGCCAGAAAAGAAAAAGATGCATTAAGCAGTGAGATAACATGCATATGCCTATATTAACCCTTATGGACAGATTCCCTGGCTCATTCAGATGGTACAAAGGAAGCTGAAATAATCCCTTCTCTGTAGCCAGGTACTCACTGCATGGTAGGGAATAACCACTGGAGGAAGAGCTAGCTATTCTGATTACTATACTACCAACACTTCTCCAGCCTCAGTTCAGGGAAAAAAAGGCCAGAATGTGCTGGACTGCAGTATGCCTCAGTCAGCAGATGGTGCCTTGAAAATGCTCAACAGCTGATGGAGCTGTGGCAGACATAAAACCTCCCAGGGAAGTAATGAGAAGGATTCTGCTCCCAGCCATAGCTACTCCATTGTTCTCAGAAAAGACTTGGTACAAGAGAAAATGAGCATTTTTTAAAGCTTTTTAGGGCAGGAACATTTTTTCTGTATCTGCAAAAGTGCTACCACAATGGGGCTCTAATTTTAGCTAGGGCGTGTAGATGTCACCAACATTCAAAGACTATATAAAAATAAATAATAATCTTATGCATATAAAAGTCAAGGTTACTTATGAAGACCTGATGGCAGTGTTGTATGTTTGGTACTAGCAAATACAGAAAATACACAGAGCACTTAAAATATTATTTGAAAAACAATATACAACAATTAAAAAGTCTTTTGAATATGGTATTTTTCATATCCAAGTCTAGAGAAAAATATCAGTTGCTTCAGTAAATCAAGGACCACTGGTTATCAGCCAACTCTTAAGACACTGCAGATCCTTCAGGACCAAAGGCATAAAACTGTGCTCTATCAGTATCTTGACAGCACAGAATAGGCCTTAAATAATTTTACTGTGAAGCACTCAACACTGACAACCTTAAAACCTCAGGCTCTGTTTATTTTACATGTATTATGACGTCTGTCAACTCTTGAAGACAGCTAAATGGCTCTCTGCATTGCACTGTAGGGTTTGTTAGGGCCGAGATGCAGGGGAGGCAAGACAAGTAGATTTTGAGACAAACCAAGTATGACATCCCTACAGTACATCTCTGTTACTTAGCTAGCTCCAATGCAAATTATTTCTTCATTTCTATGAAGGGGCCGTACACTTAAAAATGTAAATGCCTAAAGCAGAGGTTAGGAAAATTAAGCTAATGGTTTTGTTGGGAAAGATAAATAAGCTAAATAAAGAAAAAGAAAAGAAAAAGTACAAGAGCTCTGGTTGAGGAAGGAATTTCTGGTCTTGTGAAAAATGTTGATATTTTGCAATTTTTCCCTAACTTAAATCATAACAAAAAGCCAAAATCCTGGTGAACCACAAATAGATATCTATGTATATCAAACAAAATATTGTTTAGATATTGACTTCTATTTTTTTAATAAAACAAATTTCAAACCAAAAAAATTGATTCAAACTTAAAAAAACAAATTAGGCGCGTCCACACAAGCGTGCATGTGCCTCCTGCCCCGCCTCAAACCCCTTTTTGGTGGGCCAACAGGCACATGAGGGAACAAAAAAATGTTTCCCACACTGCAAACTTGCAGCATGGGGAGAAAATTAGACCCCAGGATATTCAGGGGTCTAAAAAAAATCAATGTTTAAAAAAGTGGCACAGGGCACGGTCCCTTACCATACCCTGAAGCAACCGGAGGCTGGGTCCTCCATGGAGACGCTCTGGAGTAAAGGGTTGGGGGGAGCTGGAGGAGGGGGGAGGGGACCGTGGGGGGACCCCCAATGGCCCCACCCACTCCGCCAGCTCCCCCCCCCGAGGCCCCTGACCCCTGCTG